GGAACTGCAATACAGTTCTAAGTTTCAAACGCTCTCTGTACACACTATTTCACTCTACCGACTATATAAATAAACTATTTATCCCTAGAACGAATCAACTATTAGTCTACTACAGTACTTAAACGCGCTTAAATACCCTTACTTCCCTAAAGACTATAAATAAACTAGTACCATAAATGCATAAAAAGACATAGTAGAAACAAATTTTTGTTCATCAAATTACAATGTGCAACGAATATAATCAAATCTTTTAGACTCCACCTGGTTTTTCTTTGTCCTCTGGTACATTTCTGTTGTATTTACTTTGTAGTACAAGTTGCATTGATCTACATTCCGACTGAAGCTGAGAAACAATTGAAGTCACTTACTCATATATCATCCCTCAAGGTTTGGCTAGTAATGGCTCAGCATCCTTGATGAAATCCACTGTCACCATAACAAGACGCTGTACAGCATCTTATACAAGCACTGTCAACGATCTAAAATGGTTTTTATATAGCTTTCTACGCGTTTATCAACTTACTCGTACGGAGCAACCATGCTGTGACAAATGGCGGGCTATGGGTGACTTGAGTGCAGTAAAACAAATCTGCTTGACAATGACCAATATTAATCTGCATTCAGTTGAATTCACATCTGGTATTACTTGCAAAAAATGATGTCAAAATCATAAAAATTAATCTTTCATTTTAAATTAATACCCAATTTGAACATAAAACAAGATACGATGCCGCACACAACAAAGTTATATGGAGGAATTGACTTCAAGCTTTATTTTTTTCCCAAATATTTGTAATTTATCCGACACGTACTTGGGTTTTTTTTGTTAATACGAAGACAATATTTCTATATTTCTTTATGTGCTCCATTGAACGACTAACTATCAGAATGTGCTCACTAACTGATGTCAGAGAGGACAGCAACCATGTAATTTCACTATAAATCAAATTCATGTAATTTAAATAATACTTATCCATGCCTGTACAACTGGTGTGTCCTACATTGATAGGAAATATATATTATAAATTCTAAAACTTCCAAAAATTACATGAAAAACAACTAGATTATAGGTAGTGTTTACTATACAATGATATACATTTATAAACATATATATGTACATAAAATAATAATGTTCTTTCCATATTTACATACTTAATCTCCCTGCTGAGCGTAATCTTCTATATACCTCCTGGTCGAGGTCGAACAACCCAACATCTAAACTGAAATGATCATTTATGTAAATTCAAACTCAAATTCCATGAACGATCCGATGCAACCACTTGAAAACGCTGGCTAACATTCTGTACAAGGATTATTCTTGATCTGATACAAAGAAACAACTGGTTTTCAAGTAGTTTTCAATGTATTACTCAACTTACATGTACAGTCTGCCATGCTGACGCAAATGGCGCAAATGGATAGTTCTAGAATCGACCTCGGCCCCATTTGATGCAGTAAAACAATCTAACATTACCTTACCTAATTTTCGTATCAAAGATCAAATTTCTTTCCTATTATAAAACTACGATAAGACTGCTGACAAAAATGGAATAAATACATTATTGACTCAAAATTATACATCAATAAACTTTATCTCACGGATGATGTTCACAACAAAGTTTTATAGGAGAATTGACTTCAAGCTTTATTTTTCCCAGATATTTGTATCACATTCATCTGAAGTCTGGGTTTTTTGTTAATGCGAAGACAATATTTCTATATCTCTTTATGTGTTACACAGACAGACTATTTTGCAGACTGTTCTGACTGACTCTAATGTTAGATTGAACAAACAAAATGTAATTTATATAATAACTTATCCATGCCTGTACAATTGGTATGTTCCTGCATAAACAGGAATAAATAAATATATATAAGAGGTCAGCGTCGAAAAGCACTGGAACAACTTGAAGACAGTGTGGAGTCAAACATACATGGAAGTTCTAGGCAGAAAGAAGAGACAGGACAAACAGTGGCTCACTACGGACACTTGGAAACTAATAGAAGAGAGAGGGATGGTGAAACGAAAGATTCCCCAGTGCACCGATGAGCAACAAAAACAGAATTTGAACGCAAGATACAAAACACTGAACAAAAGAGTAAAGAAGAGTGCCAGGGAATACAAAAGAAAGTACTATGAAACCATGGCAAGTGAGCAGAACAAGCTGCAGGCAAAGGAGACCTCGCAACACTCTACCAAACTACTAGGTAACTATCGGGCAAACGTTTGACACAAATCAAGCCGGTGAAGGATGACAATGGAAAGTCAATCACCAAAGAAGTGGAGCAAAGGAAACACTGGGCTGAACACTTCAAAAGACTCCTAAATCGACCAACACCTACAAAGCGCCCGGCAATACCAACAACGGAGACAGAGCTACCAGTGAACACCAACCCCCCGACGAAATCAGAAGTCCTGAAGGCAATCAAGATGCTGAAAGCTGGAAAAGCAGCAGGACTAAATGAAGCATCGAAAACGGATCCAGAGACAACAGCGGACTTGATGACGCCACTACTGGAGAAGGTGTGGAAAGAAGTTAAAGTACCCGAAGATTGGAAGAAAGGATACTTATTCAAACTACCAAAGAAAGAATGGAGACTTAAGTCAATGCAAGAACTGGCGCGGAATTATGCTCCTGTCCATCCCAGGCAAAGTACTAAGCCGCATCATCCTTGAAAGAAACAAACATTACCTAGATGAAAAACTTCGACCGGAACAGGCTGGATTCAGGAGAAACAAGTCATGCATTGATCAGATCGCCACACTACGGATCATCATTGAACAAAGCTTGGAGTGGCAGTCACCTCTCTATCTCAACTTCATCGACTTTGAAAAGGCCTTCAGCAGAGAGCGTCGATCGAGAGGTGATTTGGAAACTACTTCGCTACTACGGGGTGCCACCGACAACTATACATCTCATCCAACAGCTATACGGCAATGCTGCATGCCAAGTAATCCACAATGGGAAATTCACGGAACCCTTCGAAGTGAGGACAGGAGTAAGACAAGGCTGCCTACTATCACCAATGATTTTCGAGATTGCAGTAGACTGGATAATGCGACAAACAGTGGGCAATGAGGAAACAGGCATAAAATGGACACACACAAAATACTTGGAGGATATGGACTTCGCCGATGACATATGTCTGATTTCCCACTAACTGGAAGATATGCGAGCGAAAAGCAACAAGTTAGCAGAAGAAGCATCAAAGATAGGACTTCAGGTGTACATAGAGAAAACAGAGGTGATGAAAATTCCTGGGCAACACCACCAACAGCAACAACAACAACTGACAGCAATCAGCATAAATAGAAGGAACCCGAAAGAAACAACCTCTTTTACCTACCTACCATGGAAGCATTGTTTCAACTACAGGCGGACGGAACTGACGAGGATATCAAAGCAAGAATCGGAAAAGCAACACAATCTTTCATTACTCTGAAGTCAGTGTGGAGGTCAACAACACCCAGCATCAAAAATAAGATCCGGATTTTCAACTCCAATGTGAAGTCAGTGCTACTTACCATACGGATCAGAGACTTGCATTGCGCGTCATAAAGAGCATCCTAAACAAACTACAGACCTTCATTAACAGTTGTCTTCGCTCAACACTACTCAAGATCAGATGGCCGGCCAGAAAATATCAGCAACAGGGATCTTTGGGAACGAACCAACCAGGAACCGATTGTGAAACAAATAGGCAGGAAGAAATGGAGATGGATTGGCTGGTCATACTCTGAGGAAACCATGAAGCGACATCACTAGACAAGCCAGTGCTCGAGTGGAACCAGAACAGGAAGCGGCGATTTGGTCGTCGGTGCAAAGGTGACTTGGAGGAGGTCATGTGAAGAGGAGATGAAAACGTGTGGGCAGACTTGGAGCCAGATGAAGACCCTAGCAGAGAACAGAACGCAATGCAGACGCACGGCCGAAGCCCTATGTTCCTGTAGGAATTAAAGGATACAATAATATAATAATAATTGAACTGCAGTCCGGAAGGCATCAGGCCTAGACGGAATTCACCCCCGACCCCTGAGAACGGACCGAGAGGCTGCTGCAGACGTTCTTACGCCATTGCTGCAAAGGGTTTGGAAAGTAAGAAGGGTACCTACCGATTGAAAGAAAGGTTGGCTACCTAGCAGGAGAAAGCGGGCGACTTAGGCCTGTGCAAAAACTGCTATGAAATAATGCTTATGTCCACGCCAAGTAAAATACTAATTCTCATCATCCTGCAGCGAATAAAAGATGGAATGGATGCAGAACTTCACTCTCCCTGCGAACAAGCTGGATTCAGAAAAGAGAAATCATGTTCTGATTGAATTGCAACACTGCACACCGTCAAAGAAGAACAAAGCATAGAATAGCAGTCAAACCTCTACCCCAACTTCATTGACTTTGAAAAGGCCTTAGACGGCGTTGACCAAGAAGTAATTCAAAGACCACTTCAACACTATGGCGTACCTCAAGTTTCTGTCAACCTTATTCAACAGCTGGCTATATGACAGTGTTATGTGTCAGGTGATTCACAACGGAAAGCTCAGCGAGGTGTTCGAAGTGCATACAGAAGTGAGAAAAGGCTGACTGCCTATTATTACCGATGATATTCTTAACTGTGGTGAACTGGATTATATGTCAGACCGTGGGGAGTGAGAGGTCAGGAATACACTTGAACACCGACAAAAAAACTCTAGAAGATCAGGATTTCGCTGATAAAATATGTCTAATGTCAAACAAACTTGAAGACTTTCAGGCGAAAACCAACAAATTGGCAGAATATGCTGGCAGTGAAAACGGGACTCCTGGTGAACATAGAGAAGGTGGAGGACCAGAAGATAACCAACAAATGACAACAACGGCCAGCACCAATCACCATCAACGGCGGAGATTTAACAGAGGTTGCCTTCCTCACTTGTCTGGGAAGCATCGTTTCAACTACAGCCAACAGACAAGGATGAAGATATCAACACCTGCCAGAATTGGAAAGGCAAAATACGCCTTCAACAACCTGAAACCAGTTCGGAAATCTTCTGCTTTCACTCACCATAAAGAACAAGGTCTGGATTTTCAACAACATTGTTAAAGTGAGTCACTGCTTCTCAACGGGTCAGAAACTTGGTGACTGTGTTACGAAAAGGATTTCCAATAGACTGCAGACTTTCATCAACCCCTGTCTTAGCTCCATATTGAAGATCAAGTGGCCAGAAAGAATAAGTGACAAGAAACTTTGGCTGGGAACAAACCAACAGGAGAGAGCCGATTGCTCAACAGATATGCAGGAGGAAATAGAGATGGATCGCACATACATTGAGGAGACCGTTGAATGACATTGCGTTCAATACAGGCCTTCAATAGAGTGGGATCCCAATGGGTGGCGACAAGTTGATCGTTACTGCGGGGTGACCTGAAGGAAATCGTTTGTGGAGTAGGAGACGAGAGATTATGGGCAGTTGTAGACGCAGCTGAAGAGGGCGACAGGATATAGAACAAAGCGGAGGTATGTTGTTGCAGCCTTATGTTCCCCTCATAACCCCAGGGGATAATAATAAACAATATGCTAATCATAATCAAATTACTGACCATCCACAGAGTGACTGTAGAGTTTAAAGTACAAACTAAAACGCAAACTAATCTCTTGTGATAATTCTTCTGTCCTCCTCGAGAAATGCACAACATTTGGTTGAAAGCCAATGTGGTAAGGTGAACTTTGAAACCTGAAAACAAAGATGAATGATTGAGCATTGCAGGTAGTTAGCTGTATCCCTCAGGCAGTGGCAGTTAACACTGAAAATCTCAGGAAAAATTTCCTCATGTACTAGGACTCGTTGCCATTCACAATTATACTTCTCAAGTTTGGAAGAAATTTGTTCATCAACAGGTTGCAGACATTTTAGATACTCACAAGAGTAAACAGCACTACTACAGGTTATATTTTAACACATTAAAACCAAGTGAACAAAAGAAACTATATGCAATATAATGATGGAGGTCAATGATAGCCAAAGTTTTAAATAGGCAAAGTGTGAACTCTGCTATTTGTCAAACGGCTTCACTGCCTGTATTATTTACTGAAGTTCCTAAACCTGACTGCGGTTAGTTGCTTCATGTTTTTCGCCTCCTGAAATACAGAAAGAGCTTATCGCTTCAGACAGATTTTGATGTGGAGAGTACGCCGTTCACATCCTTTCCATCCACTAAGCTAACACAACTATGTGTGGACCACTTTATCCTGTGATTTCTGACCATATAGAACTAATAATATCCTAAGATTCTGCTAAAGAGATTTGCTTTTAAGATTTAGCCAGATTGGGAGCCATGCAACACAGTGGACAAATATACCAAGACAAATAGTGTGTCACTTGCTGTCTGTTTGGAGACGATAAACACATGCCAAAGTATCCAGTAATGGAATTCCACAATCTAATCCGAGTAAAATAATTAACTGTGCAGCCACTCCAGCACTTATCTCAATGAGATTGCAGTTAGGTTCCATACCAGTATATGACACAGTTCACATTTTTCTGGGACCACTTAAAAACTATGATCTGTTAATACTTTGCCCCAAGTGTCTTCAATCAGTTGTATGTACAGTTACGTAATACAAAGCAGTTTTTCAGTTGGTCCAAAATACCATCACTGTAAAGCCTATTTAAACTCATGAATGCAGAAGAAAAACTATGAGGTTCCAAAACAGCTGTAGACAACCTAAGTGTGGTATGGTTTGAAACTTAAGTAGTGCTACCGGAATTTTAGCCGTGGTATTGAGACAAGAAGCGCTTTTAGGTTTCCGGAATATCAAACATGAGCGAATATGCCGTATCCAGAGGCAATGCAAAAGATAAGTAATTCCTTGGTTGACTGGAACGTGGACAGTGGCCATGAACAACGTGGGAAGGATACACTGGGAGTTATTTGTAAGCTGTTTAGAAATATGGTTTAAACGTCTCCTTCAAGCCTATTTATTCCATTATCTCATTCCATGTCCTTCTCGCATAACACTCTTAATAGTTGTTTAGGGGTAAGACAACCAGTAAAAAGAATGCTGATGAATCATACAGTGAGGCCACCATCGGTTAAATAACACACCCAGTCTTCTGGGTATATGAAATTTTATTTATGCCGCTGTAATAAATAAAAGGCGTTCCAGTCGATCTGTGTTTTATGAGGTACCATGCACAGTGGTAAAGACTATTGACCTTTCAAGGGGTGAAGAACACCAGCTGAAGGAGGATTTGGGATTACATTGTAGCGGTAAATAATTCCCCAAAATGATTGGCCACAACAATCATCACTGAACATTGGATGCTGACTCTCACTGTTTAAGTCGACTTCTTTAGCTGAAGGCTTCCGGTCAAGCATCCATACCACTTGGTACTCCGTCGCGTCACTTTCGTGCACGATCACTAGCCAGCTAAGCATTCATCTTGGTCTATGATTCGGCCCCGAAATATATCTCTTAGTTTGGACGATCAAATAGTGTCTTTTGATTTGCCTTTGGTCCACGAGGAATGAATACTATAGAAGTTGTTGTTATTAGATCTTGCTTCAGTATACTCCGTACAATTCGCGAACGTCAGTACCGCCAGCCTCTAAAACATTTTCGTTATTTTTAGTATGTTCAGGGCAACTTCCTCGATTTTGACAAGACAGCGTCACCTTTCGCCATTACGGTAAGTAGAATTTTCGGACCGTACTTGGAAGATTGAGAGTTGGTGGCTTTTTCGGTTGGAAATTCCGCCATAACTTTCAGGGAACCTCAGGTGGGGATTTAACTAGATTCACTGAATGAGGTTACTAGCCTTGTGATTCGTATACCTGGACATGTTTCATTGTCAGCCTCTTTCTATATTTTTTAATTTTTTATTATAGCTTGATTCCACACCAAGCTGGCATGTCATGCTTGAGTGGGACTTTGCGGAATATTTCCAGGTGTAGGTCAACGATAAGGAAAACACAAGAGAACCATCATTTAGACCCGAGGTCAGTAGCCAGTGTTTTCTGCAAGAAAGTCATAATCTGGTTTTTACTAGTGGCCTGTATCTTAACGGAGGGATTTTTTCAATCTAGACTGGGCTTTTGTTTTGGTGTGATATTGAATAGTTCTCCTGTATCAAAAACTCTTTACCACTGTGTTTATGCTCGATGTGCAGACATCTGTTCATCTTCTTTATAGTCACTATCTGAGAAGGTACTCATTTCGCGGTTTCTTGTGAAGTGTGTTTGTCCAAATGCATGGTTGTGTGCACTTCCTTGGACGTGGGTCGAACTGCTGTGTATTTCTCTTTTGATCTGGCTTTCTCATTTTGTCAGGTTCGCAATTTTTTGGAGTTGCACTAGGGTTAAGGGTTGCGCATACAGGTTAGGGTTAAGTTAGGGTGAGGTAGAATTGAAGATACTGTAAGAAAAGAATGTCCCGGGTAAATTCGGCAGTTCATAAATTCATATTTGGGATTTGTTATCAAACTTTCAAGAGTTTGCCCCCTTCAACCCTGAATAGTTGCTCAAGGTCATTCCGTGGTAGCTATCCCGTTACATCATACAAACCGCTTGATTAATTTTGAGACCTTGTGGATGCAAATAGGAAACATACATAAATTTACTCAAGAATTATTATTGTAATTAACATATCTGCGTCGAAAGCGTAGCCAAGCATTGTTGAATTCAGTCAAAGTTACAGGCTAGAATAGGTTGGCGGTGGTTGCAAAATGCTGGGAATGTATGTGGTTATGCTTTAGTTTTAATTTGTTCTTCAGGAATTCAGATGACCGGAAGTCTGCATTATCTTTCATATGCCCGAGAGTACCGTCTCTTGGCACGGTAAATGGATTTCGGCTTTCCACCATAAATTGCAACCTACTGGCGGACTTCGAATCATGTTCTCGTGGTCCTTCGATTTCACATCACAGTCAACCCATGAAAGTTTTTTTGAGAATAAGACCTTATGCATGCGCCAAAGACCTATCTGAAAAAGTATCGAGGAATTATTATCATTGACATCTTTTTAGACTATATTATCTTTCCCTGATTCATATACAGTTGTTGCATATCCCCCGGATGCAGATTTTCGGAAGAACCAAGTCCGTAATTTCCAGAAAAGTGCCAATAAGTTCACTTTCAACGGAATATTTCATGAATCTGCGACTCAGAAAAAAGTTTTTGAAAAGGTAGCAGCAGATAAAATCCGCTCATTCATCGAGGGTTTGAATGGTCTCATTTTCGCCTATGGAACTACTAGCTCTGGCAAAACCCATACTCTACAAGGTAATTTACGGCAATATTCTAGCACTTTTTAGGATCACGAAATGATGCTGGTATTGTACCACGAACCTTACATACAATATTCAGTCTTGTGAAGCACAAAAGCGATCCATTTCTTATGCCGAAAGACTTTTCAGATGTAATTAGTTTGAGCGAAGACAGGGTACAGGAGATTTTAACGGAGAAGTCTACACTTCTGAAATACTCTGACGGCATTTTTGAGGTAAGTGTTTCGTCGTCTTTATTAGCTTCTAGTCAAATCCTCTTCCTGGTAGTGAAAATGAACCAATCTGTTTAGATGAAACTTTCACAGGTAAAATATTGCCCTCTGTTAATTCTTTTACTTATCCATACATCAATTTAGACATGAGGTGTTCAAGTGATATCCGTTACAGTTTCTGGATTAGTTTTGTGGAGATTTACAATGAAACGTTCTACGATCTTCTAGACTCTGTCCAGTGCTCTAATATGTTTTCTAGTCAGTCTAATGGTTCTACAAGCATGCGGACAACTCAGAACCAACAAAATTTCCGGAATATATTCAGTGTGAACAATAACGCATCACATACAACAAACTTTACAAACCAACCACGAAGAAAACCACTGGAATTAAGAACTGATAAAAACGGAAATATTTTCGTAAAAGGTATTGTTTTTAAAGTCTTGATATCTATTCCGTAATTTCCGTACTTATTGGTTGTATCTGATATTCAGGTTCAGATTTATTGGCTGAGGATAGAAGGCTTGGAGCCTATGTTAATCTTTTTCTAGTAAATTTCTGTGGTTGTCCAAACCCTTCTTGAATGAATCAGTTGAGGTTACAGACACACTTCTTCTGGGAGTCGGTTCCAAGAGTTTATGACTCAGCAGCAATATGTTTTATTCTTGGCTTTTGAACTCTCCTGCTATGTCCTCTAAGGTGTTCCGACTGGTGGGAAGGAAAAGAGAGGATAGGTCAGGTCCGTAGTCATTATTTAAAATTTTAAACTGATTAAATCTCTCTGCCTACGGTATGACAGGGAGTTAGTCATGCCGAGAGCCATACGTGTCGCCTTCCTTTGAACCCTTTATAGAATGTTAGTCCCTTTAAGACAACGACTGGCTGTCTGGATATAGTTTTCTAGTCTTCATCTCACCAGAGATTTACATAAGGAGGTAAACATATTTCTGGTGATTCTATTAAAGGTTCGAGTCATAACTCGTCAACTACTCATCAATTACTATTGACGTGGACAGCACAGCGTATGTCCACCCGATGTTTTTGCGATTTGTTGCAACTTACAGGTACTCCTTGTCTTCATGCACAATAATATTCAAGTCGTTTTCAATGGTCTAAATTCTTCACTATGATAGGATATCGGCAAGGAAATATTATTCCTTGTCCGTACCTTTTGTTTTGAGGCAGGCAAACTTGATACTATACCGTAGCCTCGTATTGTCTCTACCTTTTTCGACCACTGTGTAAAGATTATGTCTGACCTACCTTTCTTACCGTGATCACATTATTTCTTCTTACTATTCATGTTTCATCTGACTGACTAGTTATGCTAGTATATTTTAACACTTGTTATTCTTAAACAAGGTTTTCTAAGGTGAATATAAAAGTAAATAAGCCTAGGATCCTCTGTTTGTAGACCCTTTCTACTTGTTTTTATTACGAAGTCTTAATGTTGTAGGATTTTAGAATAAACGATATTGGGAGGGTTAGAAATCGGGGAATCAGGGTTATTTTATGAGATTTTTAGGTGTGTGAAGTGGGATGATCTGTTCATGTCAGTCATACCTACTAGCCTCTCCTAACTCTCTGGTTTCAACATAGAACTTAGCACCGATGTAGAGCAGTTCGAGTCAACACACTCAATGTAGCCCACAAAGCGAGAGAACAAAGGAGAAATATAAAACGGATACAGTAGACAGAGATGTGAAGCAAAAAGAATAGTAAAGTCGAAGAACGATATGGGTTTATTGGGTATTATAATTCACAAGGAGTGGATGCATCTGCACTGTCATTGAGAACGATTTTGAGTCATATCACCAATTGTCTTCAGCCACTGGTGTTTACCGTCCCTGGCTTAAACTAACTGTTGTGGATTTCATACATTTGGTTCCCTTGATAAATTTCGATAGAGAAAGAAAGACCAGATTTGCAGTATAAAGTGATATCATTCTATTTCACAGGTTCTCATCAGGTGCAGAATACCTGTTGTAGATTTCATTGATTGATGAAGCCATGTTTGACCACCACAAGCTGTTTTCCAATCTGACCCTATGCCAGCTAACATTTCCCGTCAAGAAAGGTGATGGCTAGGCATGTGTAACATATGTCCTAACCATCTCAATCGATGTAACCTCACAACCTCGTCTATTGATTTCCCCTCTTTACTTAGCACAGCCTCTCCTAATGTCAAATGTTGCAGTGCTTAAGTTGAGGGAAATTGAAGGAAGTTATATTAACCTATGTAAAGTTACTGACTGTCAGTTAAAAACATAGAAAGGAGTGTTAATGAATGAGCTATAATTTTTTAATGCCTTAAGAATCATCCGTTGGAGATTAGGTGACATAGTAAAAAAGAGTGAACTACATTGAATTAGGTTTTCCCACTTTTTCAATAGTTTACCCTCCGTTGAATGTGTCTCCCTTATTTCTGCCAGTCTTCGGTGATGTTTTTAGCAATGGCAATTTAAAATAACTCTCATTTTAAGAAATTTTACTTTTTATTATTATTATTTCTGACTTGTTTCATTTGTGTTACTTTCTGGGAATGTTATAAGAAAATGAGAATTTTTTCGAAGTATTTATGCAAATAAATATACAAGTAGGAAAACTTCCAGTTATTTGATTGTTTTTATCGTCGTGAAAAAAAAATCCTTAATCATTTTCCGGTTGAAAAGTTGGGTAGAAACTGTGCAAGAAGTTGTCTCCCTAGATTTATTAACATTGTATTGTATTTACACAGAGCATACTTTTCTGATTTTGCTGTTGGTTAGGTATGAAATGGTACCCTATCGGTTCACCTGAAGAGGCTTTACGACTTGTTGCAGTTGGTCGTCATTGTCAAAAAGTCGCCTCAACTCGTTTAAATCAAGCAAGCTCAAGATCGCATAGTATTTTATCTATAAAAGCTGTAAAAGTAGTGAATAAAAACAATCCAAATTTTGCCCGAGTTAGCACGCTTATGTTTTGTGATTTGGCTGGAAGTGAACGTTCTGTAAAAGCGGCTACAGGTGGTCAAACAATGCGTATTCGTGAGGCTGGAAATATCAACTCAAGTCTGTTAACATTAGGAAGGTTTGTTGGATATTGTAAAAATTTTCTATCCTTTCCTTTTTGCCCATGAGATTACTATGACCTACCCGAAGTCAAAGTACCTGTATTTCCTATGAATTTGAGAAAAAGAATGCTTAGTAATGAGTGTCGCTATGTTTATTTCGTCACTTATATTTTCTTACAGACTTCACGATATCTCTGTGGATGTATTATGGTAATGAAATAAGAGGTCATACAGGAATTTTAGGAGAATTAACAATCATACCTATTGTACTGTAGTATTTTCTACTGTTTGTTTTTGGGATTCTAGTTATATTTTAGTACAATATCAAGTCATGAGGTTATCAGAACTTTAGTATTTTATGTAATCCCCATGTAGTGACATATACCAGTTCAGTAAGACTATTCAGTGACTCTAAAATGAAACTACACCTACCTAATAAACGGATTAATGACCTTGAGCAGCCAGTTAGATGAGTCCGTAGTGTATAGAGGGAATCTTGGATTCTGTACACGAATAACGCAGCGAATTTCATCTGAATCTCGAATTTAAGTCCTACTTAGGCAATAGGCTCATTGGGAAGGAGAAAAACGTGTAGCTAACTGTCATCCCTAGGCTATTTTCACAATCTGGTCTGTCATACGGAGGATTTTGTTAATCCTTTCGGTAGGACTCGTAAAAACCCCATCGAAAGTTTCTGGAGTCACCTGAAAAAAGAGGATCAGAGTGGTGAATAGGTGGGTCAAGAAATACGATGATTAACAGTTATCTCGACGAAAATGTATGCACAAAAATTGGTTCAACCTAATTATGAGGACTCCTATGAGAAATTGAGAGGTTTTGTCGGGACATATATAAGGATTGTTATCAGTTAGAGAACCACTGAAAACCAGCACTGGAGTACTAGACAGCTGTTTCTCCCGTCTTAGTTTGAGAATCATCGACAGTACGCACCCACCAACAAGGTTCGAACCCAGGACCTTCCGGCTACAAGGCAAGCTGACTCGTTTACCATTCACCCACTGGGACCCGACTCCTCAATGGCCAGCCCATGAATTCTAACTTCTATCAATTCGTGATTTAGCGCTACCCCAACTAATGTTGTCGATGGAACAACCATCCTCACACTTGACTGGATGGACCTCACTGGTCACGACTTCTCACTAGAACTCCAGGAAACTCCGTCCTGTAGAGCAAGCCACCAGCGAGCATCATATTAATTTTCTGTAGTTGGTTTTCAATGGTTCTCTAACTGATATCCATCTGTGATCAACTCATAAAAACAAAACTAATCCTTACAAACCAACTATAGAAAAAAAAACATATATAAGTACTCATATAAGTACTTTTTAACTTTGGATTATGTGTATACAGACGTTTTTCGTAAATCTAGCACTTCTATTACGGACGCATCTGATTGACTGATGGAAATTCGCCAAGGTTTTTATTAGGTAGTATTGTTTTGGGCCGGTATAATTTAGAGTCACCGTCTATTCTTCATTCCGTTTTTTTGTAAACAAATTATTTGTTTAGAGACCATAAAGATGGTATAGGTATGAAATGTACACATTTTCAGAGTTAGTGTTTTTGACTCAAATGAATAGCTAAACAATGATCTATATTTTTACCACATACACACACACACTGCTGGATAATAAAATTACTTACGATGGTGCCATCATTGTCTACCAGAGATAGAACTACAGTTCAACATTGTTTTCGTTGCTCACTAACGACTGGCTTGGTTTAGGCAGTGAACTGGGGTTCTAGTGGGAAGTCGTGACCAGCAGGGGACAGCAGCTTGAAGATGAGGTAGTAACTCATCGAAGAAGACATTGCGAAGTGGTCGCGCTATGTCATGAACTGGCAGAAGTTAGAATTCATGGGCTGGTCATTGGATCAGGTCCCAGTGGCTTAATTGTCTGCCAGCTAGCTCGCCTTGTAACCAAAAAGTCCTGCGTTCGAACCGTCTCGGTGGTTGCGTGCTGCCGAAAAGTCCCAAACTAGGCCGACAAAACAGCCGTCCAGTACTTCCTGTTGGTTTGCTAATGGTTATCCTATTGATGTTAGCTCATGATGAAATCCTCCAACTAATCAAACAAAATCCCTACGAAAACAATACTTGTTTTCGAGAATCCTAATCTGGGAAAAGTTAGATGTCGTGCATGTAATGTTCAACTGATTATAACGAAGTTTTGTAACAACTCTTTAGCGGCAACACCTGTTTCACAACAACCTCAAGGTCTAATGCATGCTAACTGTTGTTCTGTTACTATAAACCTTGCCTGTCATATCGTCAAGACTTACAAGCATCTGTGATCTATCAGTCAGTGGGCTACAGGTTCGAGTCCTGCTCCACCTACTTGGGCATAGGCGAATGGGTAGTAACATCAGCCTTGAAACCATAAATAAATATGTCCCGGGTAATTGAGCTTGGACAGTGTGCACTTGGCAGTTCAAATTATTCGGCTTTTTTTAAAAAAGAATTTCCAGTCTTTAGGGTTTGGTATTAGACAAGGGATTATTGTTATTTGTGAAAGAACACACTTCACCTCAATAGTATGTTGTAATACACAACACTATGCTTAAATCGCTGATTCATCCGCGTTCATCATTGGCTTAATATCATGCATTATCATCGGATGAGAATATCTCTTTTTGATCTTTGAAGTTAATGCTATATCTAGGAACAGATGGTTTTTTTTATTTTTTATTCCTTCACGTTCCCAGTGGAACATAGGGCTTCAAGCTAGAAACTGAGGTTGCTAGCCTCATGCCCAACCTTTCCCCTTTACCAGCTTTATTTCTGGCTTAGCGAGGTAAAGGAGTGCGTCCGTTGGCCGGGGATCGAACTCCGGACCATGTGCATGGTCGGCGAGCATCCTAACCGCTATGCCACCGACGCACAGGAACGGATGATTAGATGAACAGAATTCTAAGAGGCAATCATCAGAGGTGTCAGTCGGTCAGTCAGCATTGACCTCCGCAGTTATCCCCCGCTCACCGCCCCCCCCTCCCAATACGCTTTTCACATAAACCTAATTTTTGTCACAATAAAAGAAGTTTTATGATTATCGTATTGGAAATTACAATACTACTCATGACTACTTTTCATTATGTGAAAAAATAATCAATTAATTATTGAACTATATTTCGCAGGTGTATTGAATGTCTACGGTATAATCAACTGCATCCAGATAATCCAAAACTAGTGCCTTATCGTGATTCAAAACTTACACGTTTATTTCAAGGCTTTTTCACTGGTCAGGGAAGAGCATGCATGATAGTGAATGCATCAACAAATCCAGAATTATACGATGAAACTTTACATGCTCTACGCTTTGCTGCTTTAGCTAGACAAGTGATCGTTGAAGCGAATCCCATGGCAGAAACTGTTGTTTTGCATACAAATAAAAATGAAGTGAAATCGAACCTCCATCAAGAAGTTAAACACAAAATGTTGGTGAATAATAATCAGACGACTGTAGTCAAGTATGTTTTCTCTGTGTGTGTTTCTCGCTTAACTATTGTAAACTTTTATATTTAAACAATGTGGTGGATTGCGCTAAGTAGAGCAATGCCTATGGGTTTACTGAGTTTATTGGAGATGTGGTACTTTGGCTTAAGAACTCAACTTTTAGTCACTAGGTTCCAGCTTCGAATCCCGCTCCACCTACTTCACTACTGGCTTAGCAAAGTTTTAAGTGTGCATCGGCCGGGAATCGAAACCCGATTGGCGAGCATTGTACCTCTAAAATTCGGTGGAAATGAAAAAGTTTAATCGTAAAGAGTATGTAATGCAGTCGGATTAGGTGAAAACTTATGTAGTTTGTGTTTCGTTATTGTGGGATTTATATTATTTGAACTCGATGACCATATAAAGCATTTAGTGACATTGTTAATCGTAATATGAAATTGATATCGACAATCCAGTTTACTTCGGAAGCAGAATCAGACGTTGGTGAACTACCATTTCTAGACTGCCTGGCTAGTTAAGAGGAGGGAAAACGGATATTTTAGTGTATCTATGTTCAGGAAAAAACCCACTCCAACGAATATTTAAACTTCGGATCATCACACTCGACCAGCGCAAAGGTATCAGTTGTTTCAAGTCTTCTTAGACGAGCACACTCTTTGATAACAGATGAAGAAGGGAAATAAGAAGAAATATCAAACATTACTGAAACTCTCAAGCAAAATAACTACCAGGAGAACTTCATCAACAAAATCAACACTGACATTAAGTATGGTCGAAAACGTATTCCGAAAAGATTGACCTCAACAGTTGTCATTTCACACAGAGCAGAGACGTCAGACGATATTAGAAGAGTACTTAATAGGCACAACATCAGAGTTTCTTTCGAAATATCAAACACATTGAGAAACAACCTTGTCCATATAAAAGAGATTCTCTATCTAATTGTGTCTATAAAATAAAATGCTTGGACTGTGATGCGATATATATCGAACAAACATCTCGAGAAATCAAAATCAGAAGAAATGAACACCGCAGAGTGAGTGTCTCTCCGACCACCAAGAAATCCAGTTGAACTGGAAAAGCTTGAAAAATCATCAGCCAGCCATAGCCTGTCTATACGCCATAGAATCAGGCCACAAAATTGATTTTGACAATTTTAAAGGAATCCATAAAAATTTCAGAAATCCCAAAGAACGTCTAATATCATCAGAAGCACTTCACATCAAATGGAATCCAAATTGTCTGATGAACAGGAATGATGGACTAAGGCAGAATTTGACCTGGCTGCAACACCCTCCCACTCCTCCATGAAATGACAAAATCAACACGAATGTGTCATAAGCAATTTCATTATGTAAACACACACGCTGCTTTTATAATTTTACGTACTTATCAAACCCGACAATCTACACCTGGTATTTAATTGAAGGATGGTGACTAGCAGTAGAATCCAGGATGCGCATTTCGTCCTATTTGGGATTCGTCATCTGGATGTACCTGGTTTTGTTATCTTTACCAATTGGCCAATTTGACAACGTGAAGAGAATTACTCCATGCTGAGGAACGATGATTAAGCTGTTATAGTGTATAAGCTGAATGGATTTGGTAAATTCTAGTTTAAGAATACTTTGTTAAAGTTACTAACAGCACTGCATAGCGAAACGTCAGTAAAAACGACAACAATATCGTTGTTTGTTTTTCATTCATTGGGAAATACAAAAAAAGAACAACCTTTATTATAATTGATATTGACAAATTATATCGGTGGAGTATTGATAGAAAGTTAAAAAATAAATGTGATGATAATTTGGCTCATTGTTCGTCTCTTCTTGCACTCAACCTACTTCCACTTAGTGGTCATGTTGTAACAACAGAAGACAAGGGCCAGGCAACAGATCGTTTATTAAGGAAAATCAACACATATTTATAGATTTTAATGTACATTATTGTAGATTATTGTTAGTAAACAATACAGTCTTTTGATTGGTTGTTTCTCACAGAAAGTTAACCTTGCATCTCTTTTGTGGTTGTGTCAGATCATCCATATGCTAACTGTATCCGCCTACGCAAAGCCTTTGTTCTCATTTTCTCACCACCAATATTGGGGACATAAACATTGACGTCAATTCCTGTCTACCAACTTTGGCTAGTAGCCAGCTCTCACCACAGTGCATTAAAATCCTGCTTCGACTATATTTTCGCTTAGGCGGCAACCGGTGTACTATCCATAAGCATTCAGCCATGAGGTGTGCCTCTTCTCACTTCCTCGGGTGTTATAATTGTGTACTGGGTTACAGAAACGTGAGTGAGTAGTAACATGATTATTGAAGTGTTCTGCACAGCACCTGATTCAAATGCAGTAAAAAAAGTTGGGTGGGTGCGTACTGATGAAGAGTCCCAAACTGGGACGAAACAACTGTCCAGTACTCCCACGTTTTCCAATGGTTCTCTAACCAATGTCAGCTCATGATGAAATCCTGTAACCAAAAAAAGTTTTACTGGGACGCTTTCTTCCTCTTCTTCCTGTCCATCTCTTTAGATCTAAGGAACCGGATACTATTTTGGAATCTCAGTCAACACGTTGGTCCGAAGATGATCTTGAAAAGACAGCTTCTTCACGAGCAGGAGAAGAAGCAGAAGAAGGAGGAGAAGAAGGAATAAGCGACGAGATAAACTCAACAGTTGAATTTCATGAAGTGTCTCCTACAGAAGCAGTCACACCGTCCAACAGTGACGGTACAGAATTATTGTTGGATCAATTCAGCAGAAAGGTAATTGTTTTAGCTTTGTGTAGCCAGATACCACACACACACACACACACACACTGTACAGTAGTGCTTGCTTGCCAGATCGGTGTAATCTAAACATCGGATGGCTTTTTCACTCGTGTGATATCGAGATCGTCATTTGGTGTGTGTGTGTGTGTGTGCACGGTTTTAACTTAGCTCAGAAAGGAAGTATGACTCCCTTTCTCCATGACTGGAGTCCGTGAGGTGAATGAATGGAAGTCAATGGTTGGCATAAGCTGAGTAACATAGTTCAAAGTGGACACTGTCGTAACGCAAATTTCATCACTACTCTCACCTTCTGTTTAGTTATAAACAACGAAGTTTCTATTCTTGAAGTAAATTCGTGCAGTGGAATCCTCCACTAGGATGCTCATTTCGTTCTCTACTGAGGACTTGTTAGCTATTGGATATGCATGCATTCCCCAGTGAGTGACTGAGTGAGTGAGTGAGTCATGGTGTTACCCCCACTGGGGCTCGAACTCAATACCCACAGTTTCAAAATGCCAAAGCATTATCCACTAGAACACTTGGACCACGAGACCCACCACATCTTGTGTAATGCATATTAGTAATTATTGAATTCAATATAAACTTTCTCGCTGACTGTTTGAACCGAAGTGCTTGGCCTCAGGTGCATCCAGTTGACGGGTCCCGAAAAGGAAGAAATGCGCATTCTGAATTCCACCAATTTACTTTAAGTTTAATAGTCAGACATCGTTGGAGTAATCTGCACAAGGAGCGAACATGTCAACCTCTGAGGCCGAGCCCGAGCACTTCGGCCCCATCAATCAAGGGGAATGTCCAAATTGAGTTAAGTAAAGTTTTAATCCTGTTTATATTACCTTTTTTTGGTGATTCTGTAGCCTATGACTACTGTCCAATGGGTTAATCCTTTGTCCTATATGTCTTTCTTGTCATCTTTTAACTTAATGCATATGCTGACGCGATTGGGGGTGAGGATGAAAGTTATTGTGAGGTATTTTCGCGCATAATGTATAGCAGACGACTCAGCAGATCTTTCAGCTGTGTTAAAAATTTCGTAAAACTTCTGTAAAACAGCCTAATCTCTAATCTGAAATTAGGTAAAGCAGCGGGACCTGATGGAATGACTCTAGAGGTGTTTAAGGACGGTAGAGACAATTTAATGTCCAGGTTAACTAATGTATCAGACAATGTTTGGGAGTTAGAGATAGTCCCGTTGGGCTATTGATTATCCCAATATACAGGAAGGGAGACAAGCCTTCCTGTAATAATCACAGGGGGATTAGCTTGACTAATATGGTTTCTAAAGTTCTAGGCTCAATAATCATGCGTAGACTAAGTGGTGCTTGGGAGGAACAAACACGAGAGAACCAGGCAGGCTTTAGACCAGGAAGAGGATGGATTGATCATATCTTCGCCCATCGACAGATTCTGGAACAAAGGCATGCTTAGAGGCGTCCAACAGTTGCTATATCCGATATAATGGAAAAGATTTATAGCTCAAGTGGATGGTTTTGATGTAGTGGTGTTCTCTGAGCTGAATGCTCTATTTGTGAAGCTATCATTGCCCTACTAGGCAACATCTTCAGTGTATAATTCAGCATTGAAGTAGGGTCGTTTCTGCATTTCTGCTACTATTGTTCTTTATAATTAACATTTCACTCGTGTTCATTGTGTTGTTGTTGTTGTATAACCTCTAAAGGTCTTCATTGGAAAGTTAGGAATAATATGTGTGTGTGTGCGTGCGTTTACTAACCACTTTTCAAGTTCCCGTGTTATTTCTACATTTCCTTCGCTTTTTTGTTTCTCTCTCTCTCAATAGGAACTTATTGCATTGGTGAAAGATCTATCCGAAAAATTCTTTGAATCAAAAGGTGAATTAATTGAACAAGAGGCACGTTTAAGAGCTGAAATGTGTGATAATCTAAATCAACAAATCATAGATTTTGAAAATAAGTTTGAGTAAGTTATCTTGATGCCTTTTGGTCAGCCTTTTTTAAAAAAAAAGCTTTTCTGTTTTCATTCCTTGCTCATCCTGAATTGGTTGAATGAGAGTGATCGGCTAATTAACTGACGTCGTAATCTCATCCTGAATGCAAAAGGCTAATGCGTCGGTGGCCAGTTGACTTCCTGAAGTCAGTAGTATCTGGCGTAGACGTAGTATCCTGTTAATTATCGATCAATGAACGTATGTATTATACAGTAGTTTGCTCTTTCCTCCTCTGTGACTCTGAGACATGGCCATTGAGAGTAAAATATGGGAAAAGGCCAACTGTCTTTTATCATAGGTGTGTACTTTCCATCTCCCGTGTTAAGTGGTATAATATGGTGAGTAGTAATATTGAGGTAGGGTGTGTTAGGTAAGGTGGAAAAGTCAATTGATGAGGTTGTGATGAAAGTGAATTGATTGAGATGACTAGGACGTGTGTTGCGCATGCCAAACCACCGTCTCCCTCCATGAGAAGTGGCCAGTCAGTATGAGATAAGGTTGATCAAACCAAAACCCGGGATCAGTCCATGAATTCTTTGGTGTATAGCTAGTCTGAGCCACGTAAATGAGGTATAGACTGCCTGGTTGAGGCGGTGGGGGGTGGCTCAGGATTCTAAGAATCAATGCCTGGAGATTGCTGGTGATATGGTGGAATATTGTTGTCAATGGTTCAGGTCGTCTATCCACTAAACCGTCATGTTTTTACCATGTTGCTGTCCTTCTCCTTCACATTACTACTTGTTATCATAATTATTTTTATACCGTTTTGTAAACCTTTGTGTACTGCATGCAGTTTGGTAAGTTGAACAGTGCTGAACTTCTGTGCGCATGGTTCTACACTGAGATTCATTTCGTTAGTCAATCAGCCGGAGTGAAACAACTCAGAACTTCAAGCTTTAAAGTTTCACTGGCGATTGTTCTTTTTTAACCCGCTGGTGGGTGAGATAGACGGCTGCTAGTCTCATGCCCAATCTTCCTCCTTTCCTATGTCCAGACTTACTGTTATTGGCTTGTAAACTGCGTGGAGATAAGGGCGTATTGATCATATATTCACCCTTCGACAGATTCTGGAAGATATGCATACTTACCAGCGGTATTCGATTCTGTTGACCGAGAGGTGCTCTGGCGATGTTTGGTTGTAAAGGAATGCCGAGAAAATACATTGCTGTGATCAAACCACTCTACTCAAACTCATGCAGCCAGATGAGGGCTTACGGTGAGTTGTCATCTGAAGTGGTGACAACTAGTGGTGTCCGTCAGGGATGCCCACTATCCCCATTTCCATTCAATTTCATCATAGATGTATTAATGGACTTAACCCTAAGTGAATTCAGCGACTCAGGGATTGACTTGCTATCACGGAATAATCTCGTTGACTTAGAGTATGCAGATGATATAGTCCTGCTCTTAGGTGAAGACGCTGACAAAACGCAGTCTTCTGAACACCTTGAGCTGCAATCTACGAATGTTTGGCGTGCGGTTCGCTCCTGTCATATGTAAGATGATGTTACAGGACTGGAATAAACTGACTCCTAGCTGAGAAATAGGAAGTAAAGTGGTAGGGCGTGTTGACCACTTCACTTGTTTGAGAAGTTGTATCAGTCAGTGCCAACGGGTTGATCTCTGACGAAATCTGAGCACTGATACAGAGGGTTAGTTTCGGATATACCAGTTTGCTTCATCTCTGGCGTAGACGCTATATCCAACTGGCTGTCGACCAAAGGGCGGGTGTACTGCTCAGAAGTCCGCTCTGTCCTCCTTTATGGCTGTGAGACTTGGCCATTGACAGTGGAGGACATGAAAAGATTAGCTGTCTTCGATCATAGGTGTCTGCGTTCCATCTCCCGCGTGAAGTGGTATAATACGGTGAGCAATATTGAGGTTAAGCTTCGGTCGAGTGCTAGGCAAGGAGGGAGGGAAAATCAATCGACGAGGCTGTTAAGCCACATCGACTGAGATGGTTAGGACATGTGTTACGCATGCCTAGTCATCGCCTTCCTCGACTGACGGGCAATGTTAGCTGATATAGGGTCAGACTGGAAAAGAGCTAGCGGCGGTCAAACCAAAACATGCCCCCTTCAGTCAATGAAATTTACAACAGTTAGTCTAGGCCACGTAGGAAGGTGTAGACTTCTTGACTGGTTGGGGTCCTCGGAACGGTAAAAACCAATGGTTAGAAACAATTGGTGACATGGCTCAAAATTGTCCTCAATGACAGCCCTGATGCATCCACTCCTTGTGACTTATGATTTCCAATGAAACTGTTTTGTTCTTCGTTATTACTATACCTTTGTCTCACACCTCTGTATACTGTCTATACTATGCATTTCTCCTACTTTCTTCTGTTGCTTTGTGTGCTACAAATAGGGAGTGTGGCGACTTGAACTTCCGCACATATGTGGAAAGTTCTATGTCGAAAACAGACAGATAGACAGAGACAATCGCAGTTAAATGTGATTTTTTCTGTGTTTGTTAGGTTTGTCAACCATAAATAAAAATTAGTTAGGCTTATTGTTTACGTCATCAAATATATCAAAAATGTGGGGAATAATCCACTTGTAACTAGGGAGAGGGGTGGAGATTAGTAAGTCTTGACTAGGGAAGGTTACGTCACATGGAAGACATCCCGAAAAATAGGATGTTAATGAAAGAGAATGGAGACAAGAGTCTAAAATAAAGTGTGTAGTAGGCAGAAAGAGTAAATAAAGGCGTTGGTTAAGAAAAAGATGTTACTAAAATGTCACGAAAAATGCGCAGAATAGTATAAGTAACCAAGTATTAGAACTTGGAATTATACCCAACACGGAAAGAGGCGATAGAGAAGCTTCTTGTGTCTACATAAATCAATCTTTTCCAACCGAATGGCTAAGGCCTTGGTAATGCAAAGTATACGGAAGCTTACCGTTTATCTGTAAATGTAGATAGATATAGATAAAGACATAAAGCCCATAACCAGCAAAGAACACCCCATCTCCATGCCGAAGAGGATACTGTACATGGATGTGGCGTTCAAAGGCGACCTTCTGACCGACATCTTAGAGAGCAGAATATCTAAAGCCCTGGAAACAGCATTCACTGTTGCTACATTCCTTTCGGTGTTCTCATGCCGCTCATTGTTCTTCAACAACTCTAATGACAAACTGTCGCATTCGACCACTTTTATGTGTATCTACCAATTGACTTGCTCATGTGGAGCGAGATACACAGGTCATTCGATGCCCTGTTCATCTAAAAGAGTCAAAGAACGTTATCTCGCTTGGCTACGAAGAAGTAACAGTGGGTCAATAAGGAATGGTATAATTGAACACATATTCAACACTGGTCACTCAACATGTACGCAGAATTCATTCAAAGTCATCTACAAATTCAAAAGAAGCCTCCCGAAGACGGTAAGCTTCCGTACACTATGCATTACCAAAGCCTTAGTCATCTAGATGGATAGGCCTGATTTATGTAAACAGAAGAAACCTCTTCATCGCCTCCTTCCATCTTGGGTACAATTCCAAATTCTACTGCCTTGTGAAGAATGCTTGTTGAATTTTTTTTTTTGAATCTTTGTATGACCTTTTAGTAACATCTTTTTCTTAACCAACGCCTTTATTTACTCTTTCTACCTATTACATAATTTGTTTTGGACCGTTGTCTACACACCCTTTCATCCACATCCTACTCTTCTGAATGTCTTCCGTGTGACGTAACCCTCCCTTGTCAAGACTTGCTAATCTCCACCCCTCTCATTGATATAAGAATAAAACTTGTTCACTGTGGTAGAGTGTAATTCCATTATGGGTAAATTTTGTTTTGATAAAGTCTCACAGTGTTTGTTATACACTAATGTTTACTGATGACCACGTTTCGAGCACAATTTATTACCGCTCATAATCATATCAAGGCATTACTCACTCACACAACTTTCTAACTTCGTTTATATAATTCCATCATTATTTTTCATCGCTTGAATTGATTGGTGGTAATATTTTCCATATTTCGAGTATGAGTGATGAGTCATTCCTATTGCACGTGTTGGGTGTAGACTGGATGAACAAGGATTCAGTAATCAACCTCTAAGTGTCAAAAGCAGAACATATCTCTAGCTTCTTGACACACATAAACTCACTAGTGGAGGGAATAAAATTCACAGTTGAAGCCGAAAGTGAACAAGGAGAATTAGTTATGTTAGATTGTAAAATAAAACGAATAGAAGAAGGCAAACTACACATTAGTGTTTATAGAAAACCAACGCATTCTAATAGATATTTAAACTTCAATTCATCTCATCCCTTAACTGTTAAGGCAGGTTTAGTTAAGTGTTTAACAAATCGAGCAATGGCACTAAGTAGCACAAAAAAAGACCTAAATGATGAGATAAAACAGATAGAAGAGGTGTTGGTGTTAAATAACTATCCTATAGAATTCATTAAGAAGATTGAAAAAGGCCAAAATAAAAATAAAAAGAATTGTGAAACTAGTAATAATAACATAAATAAGAGAGAATATAAGTCATCTACGGTTATACCATATAAAGAAGGGACATCTGAGACCCTCCCCTCGTAGGATTCTCAATAAAGCAGGGATTAGGGTGGCATTTAAACCTACAAACTCACTCACATAGGACAAGCTCTGTAAGGTAAAGGACCCAGTTGACCCAATTAGACAAAATAATATAATTTACAAAATACCCTGCAATGACTGTGAGTTAAGTCAACTACATAGGTCAAACTGGTAGATCAGGAGTAGTCAGACTGTCGGAACATAAGAATTTAGCTAAGGTAAGAATGGTTGACCCCGAGAAGATAAGTAATTAAGAAAAAAAGCTCAGCAATTGCAGTGCATGCACGCATTAACACACAACCACGCAATAGGGTGGGAGAGAGTTAAAATTTTAAAAATTAATCTAGGTGGGTGGAGAGAGAGGGAGGTTGATTACTGAATCCTTGTTCATCGAGTCTACATCCAACACATGCAATAGGAA